AAATCGAAATAAAATATTTTTTACCGCCAACAATTTTCTTTTTTAAATTTCCTGTTTTCCCGCACTTCGTTGATCCTGAAAAAACGAAAGAAAAAGAAATCCGAACACTTTTGTCTTAATTTGACATTTTATCAAAAAAAATCGGCAACCACGCGCGAAAAATCGAAATAAAATATTTTTTTACCGCCAACAATTTTCTTTTTTAAATTTCCTGTTTTCCCGCACTTCGTTGAACCTGAAAAAACGAAAGAAAAAGAAATTCGAGTAGTTTTGTCGAAATTGGACAAATTATCAAAAAAAATTTCGAAATTACTCGTGAAAAATCGAAATAATTTATTTTATTGCCGTGGACAATTTTCTTTTTAAAAATTCATGTTTTCCCGCACTATGTTGATCCTGAAAAAACGAAAGAAAAAGAAGTCCGAACACTTTTGTCTTAATTTGACATTTTATCAAAAAAAATCGGAAACCACTCGCGAAAAATCGAAATAAAATATTTTTTTACCGCCAACAATTTTCTTGTTTAAATTTCCTGTTTTCCCGCACTTCGTTGATCCTGAAAAATCGAAAGAAAAAGAAATCCGAACACTTTTGTCTTAATTTGACATTTTATCAAAAAAAATCGGAAACCACTCGCGAAAAATCGAAATAAAATATTTTTTTACCGCCAACAATTTTCTTGTTTAAATTTCCTGTTTTCCCGCACTTCGTTGATCCTGAAAAAACGAAAGAAAAAGAAGTTCGACTAAATTTGTCGAAATTGGACATATTATCAAAAAAAATTTCGAAATTACTCGTGAAAAATGGAAATAATTTATTTAATGCCGTGGACAATTTTCTTTTTTAAATTTCTTGTTTTCCCGCACTTCGTTGATCCTGAAAAATCGAAAGAAAAAGAAATCCGAACACTTTTGTCTTAATTTGTCAATTGATCAAAAAAAATCGTAAAACACTCGCGAAATATCGAAATAAAATATTTTTTTACCGCCAACAATTTTCTTTTTTAAATTTCCTGTTTTCCCGCACTTCGTTGATCCTGAAAAAACGAAAGAAAAAGAAATTCGACTAGTTTTGTCGATATTTGACAAATTATCAAAAAAAATTTCGAAATTACTCGTGAAAAATGGAAATAATTTATTTTATTGCCGTGGACAATTTTCTTTTTTAAATTTCTTGTTTTCCCGCACTTCGTTGATCCTGAAAAATCGAAAGAAAAAGAAATCCGAACACTTTTGTCTTAATTTGTCAATTGATCAAAAAAAATCGTAAAACACTCGCGAAATATCGAAATAAAATATTTTTTTACCGCCAACAATTTTCTTGTTTAAATTTCCTGTTTTCCCGCACTTCGTTGATCCTGAAAAAACGAAAGAAAAAGAAGTTCGACTAAATTTGTCGAAATTGGACATATTATCAAAAAAAATTTCGAAATTACTCGTGAAAAATGGAAATAATTTATTTTATTGCCGTGGACAATTTTCTTTTTTAAATTTCTTGTTTTCCCGCACTTCGTTGATCCTGAAAAATCGAAAGAAAAAGAAATCCGAACACTTTTGTCTTAATTTGTCAATTGATCAAAAAAAATCGTAAAACACTCGCGAAATATCGAAATAAAATATTTTTTTACCGCCAACAATTTTCTTTTTTAAATTTCCTGTTTTCCCGCACTTCGTTGATCCTGAAAAAACGAAAGAAAAAGAAATTCGACTAGTTTTGTCGATATTTGACAAATTATCAAAAAAAATTTCGAAATTACTAGTGAAAAATGGAAATAATTTATTTTATTGCCGTGGACAATTTTCTTTTTTAAATTTCTTGTTTTCCCGCACTTCGTTGATCCTGAAAAATCGAAAGAAAAAGAAATCCGAACACTTTTGTCTTAATTTGTCAATTGATCAAAAAAAATCGTAAAACACTCGCGAAATATCGAAATAAAATATTTTTTTACCGCCAACAATTTTCTTGTTTAAATTTCCTGTTTTCCCGCACTTCGTTGATCGTGAAAAAACGAAAGAAAAAGAAGTTCGACTAAATTTGTCGAAATTGGACATATTATCAAAAAAAATTTCGAAATTACTCGTGAAAAATGGAAATAATTTATTTTATTGCCGTGGACAATTTTCTTTTTTAAATTTCTTGTTTTCCCGCACTTCGTTGATCCTGAAAAATCGAAAGAAAAAGAAATCCGAACACTTTTGTCTTAATTTGACATTTTTTCAAAAAAAATCGGAAACCACTCGCGAAAAATCGAAGTAAAATATTTTTTTACCGCCAACAATTTTCTTTTTTAAATTTCCTGTTTACCCGCTTTCGTTGATCCTGAAAAAACGAAAGAAAAAGAAATTCGACTAGTTTTGTCGAAATTTGACATTTTATCAAAATAAATCGGAATCGATCCTGAAAAATCGAAAGAAAAAGAAATCCGAACACTTTTGTCTTAATTTGTCAATTTATCAAAAAAAATCGTAAAACACTCGCGAAAAATCGAAATTATATCCACTTTTACGATAATTCGACTTTTAATCCGAAAAATATCTGAAAAACTCAGGAAAAATCGAAATAAAATATTTATTTACCGCCAACAATTTTCTTTTTTAAATTTCCTCTTTTCCCGCACTTCGTTGATCCTGAAAAAACGAAAGAAAAAGAAGTTCGACTTGTTTTGTCGAAATTTGACATTTTATCAAAATAAATCGGAAACCACTCGCGAAAAATCGAAATTATTTATTTTATTGCCGTGGACAATTTTCTTTTTTAAATTTCCTGTTTTCCCGCACTTCGTTGATACTAAAAAAACGAAAGAAAAAGAATTCCGAACACTTTTGTCTTAATTTGACATTTTATCAAAAAAAATCGGCAACCACTCGCGAAAAATCGAAATAAAATATTTTTTTACCGCCAACAATTTTCTTTTTTAAATTTCCTGTTTTCCCGCACTTCGTTGATCCTGAAAAAACGAAAGAAAAAGAAATCCGAACACTTTTGTCTTAATTTGACATTTTATCAAAAAAAATCGGCAACCACTCGCGAAAAATCGAAATAAAATATTTTTTTACCGCCAACAATTTTCTTTTTTAAATTTCCTGTTTTCCCGCACTTCGTTGAACCTGAAAAAACGAAAGAAAAAGAAATTCGACTAGTTTTGTCGAAATTGGACAAATTATCAAAAAAAATTTCGAAATTACTCGTGAAAAATCGAAATAATTTATTTTATTGCCGTGGACAATTTTCTTTTTAAAAATTCATGTTTTCCCGCACTATGTTGATCCTGAAAAAACGAAAGAAAAAGAATTCCGAACACTTTTGTCTTAATTTGACATTTTATCAAAAAAAATCGGAAACCACTCGCGAAAAATCGAAATAAAATATTTTTTTACCGCCAACAATTTTCTTGTTTAAATTTCCTGTTTTCCCGCACTTCGTTGATCCTGAAAAATCGAAAGAAAAAGAAATCCGAACACTTTTGTCTTAATTTGACATTTTATCAAAAAAAATCGGAAACCACTCGCGAAAAATCGAAATAAAATATTTTTTTACCGCCAACAATTTTCTTGTTTAAATTTCCTGTTTTCCCGCACTTCGTTGATCCTAAAAAAAAGAAAGAAAAAGAAGTTCGACTAAATTTGTCGAAATTGGACATATTATCAAAAAAAATTTCGAAATTACTCGTGAAAAATGGAAATAATTTATTTTATTGCCGTGGACAATTTTCTTTTTTAAATTTCTTGTTTTCCCGCACTTCGTTGATCCTGAAAAATCGAAAGAAAAAGAAATCCGAACACTTTTGTCTTAATTTGTCAATTGATCAAAAAAAATCGTAAAACACTCGCGAAATATCGAAATAAAATATTTTTTTACCGCCAACAATTTTCTTGTTTAAATTTCCTGTTTTCCCGCACTTCGTTGATCCTGAAAAAACGAAAGAAAAAGAAGTTCGACTAAATTTGTCGAAATTGGACATATTATCAAAAAAAATTTCGAAATTACTCGTGAAAAATGGAAATAATTTATTTTATTGCCGTGGACAATTTTCTTTTTTAAATTTCTTGTTTTCCCGCACTTCGTTGATCCTGAAAAATCGAAAGAAAAAGAAATCCGAACACTTTTGTCTTAATTTGTCAATTGATCAAAAAAAATCGTAAAACACTCGCGAAATATCGAAATAAAATATTTTTTTACCGCCAACAATTTTCTTTTTTAAATTTCCTGTTTTCCCGCACTTCGTTGATCCTGAAAAAACGAAAGAAAAAGAAATTCGACTAGTTTTGTCGAAATTTGACATTTTATCAAAATAAATCGGAAACCACTCGCGAAAAATCGAAATTATTTATTTTATTGCCGTGGACAATTTTCTTTTTTAAATTTCCTGTTTTCCCGCACTATGTTGATCCTGAAAAATCGAAAGAAAAAGAAATCCGAACACTTTTGTCTTAATTTGACTGTATGAGATTTGCCAAAAGGAATGAGAAGTGTTCAGGTGAAATTAAACAACGATTTTATTTTGATTAATTCAGATATGTACACAAGCGATGCGCGCAAATTTGGTCACGGCTTGACCACGCCGTGGCGTCGAAAACAAAAGTTTGAATTTTATAGTTTTAATTATAATGGACACAAAATAATAAAGTAAATTTAATGAGCACAAACGGTGTTCACTTTATTTGAAATTTAGCATTGAGAAAAACCAACCAAAAAAAAAATACGCCTTGCTTAATGCGAGAGCTTCCTTCCGTGGTGAATGCTAATGAGATACTAATAAGTGATTGATGCGTGACAAAGTGTGAGTTGTCGCCTGAGTGTGGTTTGAAGGTGTGTGTTGCGTCGTTCGCGTACAATGAGAGTGTCGTGCGTGTGTGAGTGTGAATTTTGGCGCTGAATTGAGAAAACCTAGTGTATGGTGTCGAGATTAAAGATTTATTGAATTTTCTCTAAGTTAAATAATGTTCAATGATTAAATCCTAAACATTCTCCCCGCCATCGGCAACAGCGTTGTCGATTATTTACGATGAATCTCCATCCGAAGTTGAATTGTCGTCCACTGAGATGGGAAGAATAGCCAATTTATGAATTGGCCGTTTGAGTGTTGATGTAGCTGTTTTGATAGTGACAATTCTCGTGAGTCCATCCTTTCCGGGATGAAGTTCCAAAATGCGAGCAAGAGGCCATTTAGCGGGAGGAAACCTCTCGTCAGTGAGTAATACCATAGAACCAATTTTGAGTTGATTTGAGGGGTGATGCCATTTTGAAATTGATTGTTGCCGTTGAAGATAGTTTGCAGACCACTTTGACCAGAAAAATTGCAATTTTTGTTGAATGAGTTTCCATCGAGATGAAACTGAGATGTGAGTATCAATGAGAGATGGTTCTGGGATTGTCGTGAGTGAATTTCCAATGAGAAAATGGCCTGGCGTGAGAACTGAGAAATCTTCAGGGTCATCCGAGAGTGGTTCCATAGGACGAGAATTGAGCACCGCCTCGATCTGTACTAGAAGAGTCGTAAATTCTTCATAGCTTAAAATCGTCTCGCCGATTGTCCGCCGAAGGTGAAATTTAACTGACTTGACGCCCGCTTCCCACTTTCCACCCATGTGAGATGCCGCTGGAGGATTGAATTTCCATGTGGTTCCATCAGAAGTCAGAAGATGAGATAATTCCTTATATGATTGAGTCCCAGCCTGAAAGAGTAGCTTGAGTTCGTTTTCTGCCCCTTTGAAATTTTTACCACAATCACTGTAAAGAGTGTGGCAGATACCTCGCCGACCAGTGAATCGTCTAAATGCAGCCATGAATCCATCTGTTGAATAGTCTGTTACCGCTTCCAAATGAATAGCTGATGTTGAGAAACACACGAAGATGCAAATCCAACCCTTTTCTGATTTGGCACCTCTTCCCTTCCAAGCCTTGACTGAGATAGGTCCAGCATAGTCAACGCCAGTAGCGAGAAATGGTCGGGAAGGTGTGATCCTTGACAGAGGCAGTTGTCCCATGAGTTGTTGAGCACGAATTCCTCGTTGACGTGCGCACTTGACACATTTGAGAATGTAAGATTTTACTGCTTGTCGTCCACCGATGATCCAAAACCTTTGTCTGATGTGAGATAAAGTGAGTTGTGTTCCACCATGTAAAGTTCGATCATGAGCTTCTGAGATAATGAGAGTGGTGAGAGCTGATTGTTTTGGTAAAATCATGGAGTTTTTGTAATCCACATCGAAGTTTGAATGCCTGAGTCGTCCGCCAACTCTGAGTATTCCTTGGTTGTCGATATATGCAGTTAGACGAGTGAGAGGATGAGCAGATGGAAGATTTCGATCCATGTTGATGTTGTTCAATTCCATTGAAAAATATGCCGCTTGAGTGACTCGAACCCAGTAAAGAAGTGATTTGTTGAGATCGCCAGGAGTGAGTGGAGTTGCCAGAGATGATTGTGGAATTTGTTTGAGAGTATTTATGACCCTGAAACAGATTGAGGTAATTCTCAACAGTCGTTTAATGGATGAGTACCGCTCTATTAAATCCCAGAGTTGAGAATGAGGATCTGTTGAAACCATGAGAGAGAGTCCTGGCCGCTCTTCGAGTTGAGCTGATGAATCTTCCTTGAGCTTTGGGGATGGCCATTGATCCGATGAGTCCGATAGCCAAGAGGGTCCGTTCCACCAGAGAGTATGATCCTTTAGTTGTGAGATTGCCAAACCTCTTGATGCGCAATCTGCTGGATTTTCCTTACCCTTGATAAACCGCCATTGAGCATGAGGTAATTGGTCTTGAATGAATGAAACCCTGTTCCGAACATAATCTTTCCAACGTGATGGGTGACTTTGGATCCAATTTAGAGTCACTTGAGAATCTGTCCACATGAAGACCGGTACATGTGGTAAATCCAGCGACCGTTGAGTGTAAGCCATAAGTCTTGTTAATAATTGCGCTGCTGTGAGTTCCAACCTTGGAATGGTGATCCGTTTGAGTGGTGCAACCTTGGTTTTTGCACAGATGAGGTTGATTTGTGGTTTGAGTCCTAGTTCTGTTGATTTGATAAAGATGACTGCTGACATTGCAAATTGAGAAGCATCCGAGAATCCGTGAAGTTCCACCGTTGAGGATGATGTGAGATAAAGCCATCGAGGTATTGAGATTGTTGATAGTTGAGAAAATTCCCTTTTGAATTTGAGCCATTTTTTGATGAGTAATTCCGAGATTAATTCATCCCATCCGATTTTTTCGAGCCAGAGTTCCTGTAATAATATCTTAGCCCGAATAGTGAAAGGTGAAAGAAATCCAAGTGGATCAAACAATTGAGCCACTTCTGAGAGTATAGATCGTTTAGTAATCCGTTCCATAGATTGAGTAGAGATTTGTGTTGTGAACTTGAAACAGTCATCTTGAGTGCACCATGAGAGACCAAGTACCTTTGTGATATTGCTTTCAAATAAATGAGTTTGTGATGAAATTTGTCCAGGTGCAATGATTTTAACCAAATCAGGATGATTGCTTTGCCATTTGGCTAATGGAAAGCCTCCCCGATTGAGAAGTTCCTCCGTTTGTTGAGCAATGGGAATAAGTTCCTTGAGTTGATCAGCTCCGCCGTAAATATCGTCTACATATCTACCATTGATGAGTACAGGTACCGCTAGAGGAAAGAAATGACCTTCATCCTGAATAAGTTGCAAAATTGCACGAACTGCCAAAAAAGGTGCTGATTTCGTCCCGTAACTGACAGTCGTGAGTTGATATGGTACCTCCTGTTGATTGCTATCTATCCATAAAATCCGTTGAAGATCCCAGTCAAGTTGATGGACCTTGATTTGACGAAACATTTTTGTAATGTCTGTTGAGAAGATGTATTTGAACCTTCTGGTCCAGAGTAGCACGTCTGAAATATCCTTTTGAAGTTTCGCCCCTGTGTGAAGAATGTCATTGAGAGAGTAACCTGAGCTGGTTGAGCTTGATCCGTTAAATACAACCCTTAACTTTGTGGTTGTACTTTGTTCCCTGAGTACGCCGTGATGAGGTAGATAGTACACTTGTGATAATTGATCAGTTGATGGAGCACGAACCATATGATTGTCCTTTTCGTACTCTTTGAGAAAAGCATGATAGAGATCCCCATAAATTGGATTTTTTAAGATCCGATTGAGCATTGATTTTAAACATCGTTGAGCAGTAAGTAGTGAGTCGCCCAGTTGACTTGCAGGTTGATTAAGTGGTAGTCGTACGATGTACCTTCCAGTTGAGTCCCGTGAATGAGTATTTTGAAAATGAGTTTCACACTCTAATTCGTCCGGTGTGAGTGAGTCCTTTTCCTTGAGTGGTACTTCCTCCTGAACCCAAAATTTAGTAAGAAGGTCTTGTAGATCATTGAGTTCATGATTGACCGAGAGATGATAAGATTGACAAGCTTGTGGTGAGGAAACCTTGACAGGTCCAAGAATGACCCAACCAAAGAGTGTTTTTTGAGCAGTGAGTGATGATTCCGTTCCTTTAATGATGTCTGGTTGAAGTAATTGCCCATAGTGATCCGCTCCAATGATGAGATCTATGTTTGAGCTGCGAAAATATTGAGGATCAGCTAATTGTAAATTTTTGAATTCAGGAATTGATTGAGCAGAGAGCGTGATTGAAGGAAGAGAAGAGGATAGTTTTGATAGGATATAAGCATTAAGCAAAAGCGTATGAAAAGAATGAATTGATTGAAGCTTGATTGAGACCAATCCTCGAGTATTGCCAGATGCAGTTCCTCCAATCCCAACAATTGAAATATTTGAATATTGCCGTGTGAGATTGAGTTTAGAGACAAGCCTTTCCGAAATGAAAGATAATTCTGATCCGGAGTCTAAGAGAATTCTCACTGGATGAGTGAGTCCGGAACTGAGAAGCAGCAGAGCTTGAGAAGTAGCGAGAAGCACAATAGGTCTGATATTAAAATGATTGTTACCTTGAGATGTCAAATTATTTAGTCAATTTGAGCTGTCATCACTTTGAGCAGGTTGTGTTGTTGTTGATTGAGAAGCATCCTTGGTTGATTTCGTCCGTGAGTCATCAACGTGAATCATTGTATGATGCTTACCGTTGCATTCCCTGCACCGCTTGTCGCTTTGACAAGAGTGAGCTGAGTGTCTCCCCAAACAATTATAACACAGCCGTTGAGTTTTGACAAACTCTCGTCTGTCTTGAGTAGAAAGGTTCCTGAATTTCTCACAAACTACAATATAGTGAGATTGTTGACAACATGAGCAAGCAAATCCGTAGTCTTGATGAGAAGCAGTGAGAGCCCTTGCTGATTTTGATGTTGATTGAGTTGACTTTGAGGTTGAGGTTGACGCCGTTGATTTTGCTGCCTGAGAATATTGAGTTGAATTTAACTGCATATTTTCAAGGGCACGAGCACGCCCAGTGAGAAAGTCCTTGAGTTCTTTGTAAGTAGGGGATGTTGTCCGTGAGCCTTGTTTAACTTCCCAGGATTCCCTGGTTTGAGTGTCCAATCTTCGAATGATAAAATGAACAAGAATTAGATCCCATGAGTCAACTGGAGCACCGAGAGAAGTGAGTGCATTGAGTGATTCCGTTGTAGTGGTGATGAGCGCATTGAGATCTCCAGCTGATTTTGGTGAGATAATCTTTGAGTTGAAAAGTTTGTCCATTTGAGATGCAATAAGTAACCGTTTATTTTCATAGCGAGAAGTGAGTAATTCCCAAGCCGAATAAAATGAGTCACTTGAGAGGGGGAGATTGGCAATCAATTGAGCTGCCTCATCAGTAAGAGATGTCCGTAAATAATGCATTTTTTCCACTCCTGAGATTTCTGAATTTTGCCCGACAAGTGATTGAAATAAATCTCTGAATGAGGTCCAAGCCGAGTAATCCCCAGAAAATTTTGGCAATGAAATTTCTGGGAGCTGTCGGCGTTTAGGTTGAGAGTTTTCTGTTTGTTGAGTTAATTGTGACACTGGTTGTTTAAGTTGTTCGATGAGTGAGTTGATTGTAATCTTTGAGTCCATGAAAGTTTTGAATCCCTGTTCAAAACATTCCTCCGTCATGTAAGGAGTTGTAAAAAATGAGTTGTCACATTTTTCCCCGATTTCTTCATGAGCCTGTGAAAATTCCGTCCAGAGATCCTCAAAGATTGTTTTCATTGAGTTGAGCTCGCTGAGTGAATACCGGCTTGAGAATTTTTGAAGTTGTTCAAATGATTCTATCATTAAGTTGAGTCTACTCGTTTGAGTAGCAACCTTGAAATTGAGCCACACCGAGTGGTCGGCATGAGTGTCCTTGATAAACTTATCTTTACCTTTGTATGAGTGTGCACCTTTTTTTGAAATGTTGTATTGACCTTGAGATGTACTTGGTTGAGAATCCACATTTTTGACAGTTGAGCTTTCCTCTTTAACTGTGAGCTTTTCCATTGTTGAAATTACTTCTTTAATTTCCGTATCTGGTGAGAGAAGAGTTTGAGCATGAGATTGTTCCTTGTTTGGTGGTTGAGTTTCGTCAGCTGAGTTGACAGATTCTTTTGAATCAGTGTTCATGGCGAGAGTTGAGCGAGAAGTGTGTGAGGAGAGAATCAAAAAATTCGGTTTCCGTCGGAGACGGTCGTGAGGGATCGGAGAGTGAAGAGACGAACCGAGCAAAGATGGCTGACACTGAAACCGGGCGAGCGGATCTCTAGTCTGTTACACTGAGCGAGCACTGTGTTGAAAGAAAGAGAGAGAGCGCGCACAACGTGTTGAGAAAGAGAGCACTTTCCAATGAGAGAGAGAGAGAGAGAGCGCGCACAACGTGTTGAGAGAGAGAGAGCACTTTCCAATGAGAGAGAGAGAGAGCGCGCACAACGTGTTGAGAGAGAGAGTAATATAGTGTGGAGAGAAGCCAATATGGCCGACACTGAGAATCGCCGGGCAAGTCGATGTCCGTCACAGAGCGAGAGCCTTGAGTCCCCACCACCTGCGCACTACACTTGCCTTTCACTGTACCTGTTGAACTTGCACGTTTCAATTTTTCACTGAACACTATCCGGCACGAAGGACCAAATGTATGAGATTTGCCAAAAGGAATGAGAAGTGTTCAGGTGAAATTAAACAACGATTTTATTTTGATTAATTCAGATATGTACACAAGCGATGCGCGCAAATTTGGTCACGGCTTGACCACGCCGTGGCGTCGAAAACAAAAGTTTGAATTTTATAGTTTTAATTATAATGGACACAAAATAATAAAGTAAATTTAATGAGCACAAACGGTGTTCACTTTATTTGAAATTTAGCATTGAGAAAAACCAACCAAAAAAAAAATACGCCTTGCTTAATGCGAGAGCTTCCTTCCGTGGTGAATGCTAATGAGATACTAATAAGTGATTGATGCGTGACAAAGTGTGAGTTGTCGCCTGAGTGTGGTTTGAAGGTGTGTGTTGCGTCGTTCGCGTACAATGAGAGTGTCGTGCGTGTGTGAGTGTGAATTTTGGCGCTGAATTGAGAAAACCTAGTGTATGGTGTCGAGATTAAAGATTTATTGAATTTTCTCTAAGTTAAATAATGTTCAATGATTAAATCCTAAACATTGACATTTTTTCAAAAAAAATCGGAAACCACTCGCGAAAAATCGAAGTAAAATATTTTTTTACCGCCAACAATTTTCTTTTTTAAATTTCCTGTTTTCCCGCTTTCGTTGATCCTGAAAAAACGAAAGAAAAAGAAATTCGACTAGTTTTGTCGAAATTTGACATTTTATCAAAATAAATCGGAATCGATCCTGAAAAATCGAAAGAAAAAGAAATCCGAACACTTTTGTCTTAATTTGTCAATTTATCAAAAAAAATCGTAAAACACTCGCGAAAAATCGAAATTATATCCACTTTTACGATAATTCGACTTTTAATCCGCAAAATATCTGAAAAACTCAGGAAAAATCGAAATAAAATATTTTTTTACCGCCAACAATTTTCTTGTTTAAATTTCCTGTTTTCCCGCACTTCGTTGATCCTGAAAAAACGAAAGAAAAAGAAGTTCGACTAAATTTGTCGAAATTGGACATATTATCAAAAAAAATTTCGAAATTACTCGTGAAAAATGGAAATAATTTATTTTATTGCCGTGGACAATTTTCTTTTTTAAATTTCTTGTTTTCCCGCACTTCGTTGATCCTGAAAAATCGAAAGAAAAAGAAATCCGAACACTTTTGTCTTAATTTGTCAATTGATCAAAAAAAATCGTAAAACACTCGCGAAATATCGAAATAAAATATTTTTTTACCGCCAACAATTTTCTTTTTTAAATTTCCTGTTTTCCCGCACTTCGTTGATCCTGAAAAAACGAAAGAAAAAGAAATTCGACTAGTTTTGTCGAAATTTGACATTTTATCAAAATAAATCGGAAACCACTCGCGAAAAATCGAAATTATTTATTTTATTGCCGTGGACAATTTTCTTTTTTAAATTTCCTGTCTTCCCGCACTATGTTGATCCTGAAAAATCGAAAGAAAAAGAAATCCGAACACTTTTGTCTTAATTTGACATTTTTTCAAAAAAAATCGGAAACCACTCGCGAAAAATCGAAGTAAAATATTTTTTTACCGCCAACAATTTTCTTTTTTAAATTTCCTGTTTTCCCGCTTTCGTTGATCCTAAAAAAACGAAAGAAAAAGAAATTCGACTAGTTTTGTCGAAATTTGACATTTTATCAAAATAAATCGGAATCGATCCTGAAAAATCGAAAGAAAAAGAAATCCGAACACTTTTGTCTTAATTTGTCAATTTATCAAAAAAAATTGTAAAACACTCGCGAAAAATCGAAATTATATCCACTTTTACGATAATTCGACTTTTAATCCGAAAAATATCTGAAAAACTCAGGAAAAATCGAAATAAAATATTTTTTTACCGCCAACAATTTTCTTTTTTAAATTTCCTCTTTTCCCGCACTTCGTTGATCCTGAAAAAACGAAAGAAAAAGAAGTTCGACTTGTTTTGTCGAAATTTGACATTTTATGAAAATAAATCGGAAACCACTCGCGAAAAATCGAAATTATTTATTTCATTGCCGTGGACAATTTTCTTTTTTAAATTTCCTGTTTTCCCGCACTTCGTTGATACTAAAAAAACGAAAGAAAAAAAATTCCGAACACTTTTGTCTTAATTTGACATTTTATCAAAAAAAATCGGCAACCACTCGCGAAAAATCGAAATAAAATATTTTTTTACCGCCAACAATTTTCTTTTTTAAATTTCCTGTTTTCCCGCACTTCGTTGATCCTGAAAAAACGAAAGAAAAAGAAATCCGAACACTTTTGTCTTAATTTGACATTTTATCAAAAAAAATCGGCAACCACTCGCGAAAAATCGAAATAAAATATTTTTTTACCGCCAACAATTTTCTTTTTTAAATTTCCTGTTTTCCCGCACTTCGTTGAACCTGAAAAAACGAAAGAAAAAGAAATTCGACTAGTTTTGTCGAAATTGGACAAATTATCAAAAAAAATTTCGAAATTACTCGTGAAAAATCGAAATAATTTATTTTATTGCCGTGGAAAATTTTCTTTTTAAAAATTCATGTTTTCCCGCACTATGTTGATCCTGAAAAAACGAAAGAAAAAGAATTCCGAACACTTTTGTCTTAATTTGACATTTTATCAAAAAAAATCGGAAACCACTCGCGAAAAATCGAAATAAAATATTTTTTTACCGCCAACAATTTTCTTGTTTAAATTTCCTGTTTTCCCGCACTTCGTTGATCCTGAAAAATCGAAAGAAAAAGAAATCCGAACACTTTTGTCTTAATTTGACATTTTATCAAAAAAAATCGGAAACCACTCGCGAAAAATCGAAATAAAATATTTTTTTACCGCCAACAATTTTCTTGTTTAAATTTCCTGTTTTCCCGCACTTCGTTGATCCTGAAAAAACGAAAGAAAAAGAAGTTCGACTAAATTTGTCGAAATTGGACATATTATCAAAAAAAATTTCGAAATTACTCGTGAAAAATGGAAATAATTTATTTTATTGCCGTGGACAATTTTCTTTTTTAAATTTCCTGTTTTCCCGCACTTCGTTGATCCTGAAAAAACGAAAGAAAAAGAATTCCGAACACTTTTGTCTTAATTTGACATTTTATCAAAAAAAATCGGAAACCACTCGCGAAAAATCGAAATAAAATATTTTTTTACCGCCAACAATTTTCTTGTTTAAATTTCCTGTTTTCCCGCACTTCGTTGATCCTGAAAAAACGAAAGAAAAAGAAGTTCGACTAGTTTTGTCGAAATTTGACATTTTATCAAAATAAATCGGAAACCACTTGCGAAAAATCGAAATAAAATATTTTTTTACCGCCAACAATTTTCTTTTTTAAATTTCCTGTTTTCCCGCACTTCGTTGATCCTGAAAAATCGAAAGAAAAAGAAATCCGAACACTTTTGTCTTAATTTGACATTTTATCAAAAAAATCGGAAACCACTCGCGAAAAATCGAAATAAAATATTTTTTTACCGCCAACAGTTTTCTTTTTTAAATTTCCTTTTTTTCCCGCACTTCGTTGAACCTGAAAAAACGAAAGAAAAGGAAATTCGACTAGTTTTGTCGAAATTGGACATTTTATCAAAAAAAATTTCGAAATTACTCGTGAAAAATCGAAATAATTTATTTTGTTGCCGTGGACAATTTTCTTTTTAAAAATTCATGTTTTCCCGCACTATGTTGATCCTGATAAAACGAAAGAAAAAGAATTCCGAACACTTTTGTCTTAATTTGACATTTTATCAAAAAAAATCGGAAACCACTCACGAAAATTCGAAATAAAATATTTTTTTACCGCCAACAATTTTTTTGTTTAAATTTCCTGTTTTCCCGCACTTCGTTGATCCTGAAAAAACGAAAGAAAAAGAAATTCGACTAGTTTTGTCGAAATTGGACATTTTATCAAAAAAAATTTCGAAATTACTCGTGAAAAATCGAAATAATTTATTTTGTTGCCGTGGACAATTTTCTTGTTTAAATTTCCTGTTTTCCCGCACTTCGTTGATCCTGAAAAATCGAAAGAAAAAGAAATCCGAACACTTTTGTCTTAATTTGACATTTTTTCAAAAAAAATCGGAAACCACTCGCGAAAAATCGAAGTAAAATATTTTTTTACCGCCAACAATTTTCTTTTTTAAATTTCCTGTTTTCCCGCTTTCGTTTATCCTGAAAAAACGAAAGAAAAAGAAATTCGACTAGTTTTGTCGAAATTTGACATTTTATCAAAATAAATCGGAATCGATCCTGAAAAATCGAAAGAAAAAGAAATCCGAACACTTTTGTCTTAATTTGTCAATTTATCAAAAAAAATCGTAAAACACTCGCGAAAAATCGAAATTATATCCACTTTTACGATAATTCGACTTTTAATCCGAAAAATATCTGAAAAACTCAGGAAAAATCGAAATAAAATATTTTTTTACCGCCAACAATTTTCTTTTTTAAATTTCCTCTTTTCCCGCACTTCGTTGATCCTGAAAAAACGAAAGAAAAAGAAGTTCGACTTGTTTTGTCGAAATTTGACATTTTATCAAAATAAATCGGAAACCACTTGC